CTGGGCCATGGGGGACACACACCTACACAAGGAACTATATTACAACACTTTTCTAATTTAATATTTCTGAAGCTAACAACGATAACTGTTTGGTTCATATTTTTGCTTTGTTACTTGGTTGTCTACTCACATCTTCCAAAAGATCTTCAGGTAGGCTAATGCGTATGGATCCCAGCATGCAATCCTCCATAATTTGGGTGCCATTTCCTTCCCCAGTTGGCCCCAGTTCCAATGGATCAGTGAGCATATGATCCAGCGAGTCCATCTTTCATATACCAGTGAACCACTTGAATAAAAAAAACCAACGTATTAATTCAAAAGTTTTTGTTTTTTTTGGCAATTCAACTTACTAAAACAGGAATAACGATATACTGCAAATTCCTTGCTGCAGTGCATTCATTATCCTTTTGCAAAGTTTACCCAGCATTAATTACTTTTCCTTTATTTCTTTTCTTTATTCCTTATTATTTATTATTTATTCCAAGCTCCAGGAAGAAGACCATGCCACAGAAAAAGCTATGCTGGTTCTTTTTATGGGCCAGAGAAAGAACAATTGTTGTCTCGCATCTTCCCTGCCAGACTAAAAAAAAAAAAAGGAACCTAAAATGAATAGCCAAGAAAAGGACAATCAAATTAACCTGAACTTTATTTCTTTCTGGATTAAATCCTGAATAAGCAAAGCCCCTTCCAACTCTATAATTCTATTCTATAGATGTTTACTTGAATATTTTCACACAATAAGTTTGAACCAAATCACTTCTATACTAGCCTTAATTCTTTCTTCTTTCTCTTTCCTTAACTAAAGAATTGATCTTCTCTCTTTGCCTTTTCTTAATACTCCCCAATTTTGCATATCTCTCTCTCTCCCTCTCTCTCCCTCCCTCTCTCTCTCTCTCTCTAGATGAGATGCCCATTTGAGTTTCTTCGAGAGATAAGACTTTCCAAATAAACAAGATAAAAATGTGTTTAAAAAGAATGAAAAACAAACAGCGAGCAAACCTTTGGTGGTTTTCCAGTGTCTCTGTTCGCTTTCCCCATTGGTAGGGGAGAAAAACGAAAGAGGAAACAAGTACCCCAATGATGCAAGATTAAGTACATTAACATAATTATTTAAATTGGAATATATCTTCAAAAGTTAATTGTATGCAAATGTAATATATTTAATATAACTGCAGTGCTTATTTTGAAACAGAAACATATAAATAATGGCTGAAAACAGATTTCTTACCTTGCAAATTTTTATTTGATATATACTAGACCCCACGAACATCAGTTAAAGAGGGAAGAAAAAGGCTCATAGCTGCCATCTGAAATAGTGCGAAGCTGGAAAAATAAAATTAGCATTCATTAGCAACTCTCTCCTCTAAAGCTTTTTCTTTCATTGACTGAATCGCGTCCATTCAATTCTATTTCTAATGAAGATTTGATGTTCTTTTTGCAAAACTACCTATTTGTCAGAACATGAACTCTTTTGATTCTGAAAAACAATATCAGCCGTATAAAAATAAGCTCTCTGTAACTTCACTCATATTGTAAAAGAAAGTGTTCTATCAATGACCATATTTCAGTGAGAACAATTTTATGATAAGCTATCTTGCATGAGAAAAACCCCACTAAAGCCTCAAAGAAAGATTATTCTTTGTATCTTTTTTAACTATTCTTGTTTCCTTCTAATCTGTTCTTCCTCTTTCTCTGGTTTCTCCTCTTATCTTCTTCCTCTTCTTCCTATCCTTCCTTTTTTCTTTTCTTCTGCTCTTCCTTCTCACCTGCTTTTTCCTTTTTCTCTAGTTTTTCTATTATCATTTGCTTCCTCTATTTCCTTTCTCATTTTCCTTTCCTTTCCTTCTCCTCTTCCTTCTTCTCACTTGCTTCTTCCTCTTCCTCTAGTTTTTCCCCTTTCTCTATTTTCTTCCTCTTTTTCCTATCTGCTCCTTCTTCTTGCTGTTGTTCTTCCTCTTTTAATCTTCTTTTTATCCTTTTTTTGTTGTTTTTGCAACCATGGGGTCCACCCAGCTAAACTCAGGGCAAGGAGAATAGAATAGGATAGAAATCTTTATTGGCCAAGTGTTGGTTGGGCACACAAGGAATTTGTCTTTGGTGCAGAAGCTCTCAGTGTACATAAAAGAAACGATAAATTCGTCAAGGATCGTAAGGTTAATGACAGTCATAGGGTACAAATAAGCAATCGGGNACTTGAATCGGCTTGCTTTCAAAGCGCTATTTAAAGCGCCCTTCTTTCTCCGCGCTCGCTGTTGTCACCCTGTTGATGACGTCAGCGACGCGGTTAATCGGGCGCACTTTAGTCGTGCGCGGTTTTGTCGTGCCACGAGCTCCAAATCTGCTGGCATTTTGCTCTCTGAATTCATGGAGACCTAACCCTAATCCTAAATAGATTTGCCCCCAATGGGATTTCCCCATGTATTTTACCAGGAAACTTAAGATAAGCAGGCTTGAAAAATTGGCGCCCTCCTAAGCGTACCCATGCCCTCTGAATCCGTTAGCAATGTCTATTTTGCCCTCCAAATTCATGGAGACCTAACTCTAACCCTAAGTGGATTTCTCTCCCCCCCCCCCCCCCCCCCCCCCCCCCCCCCCCCCCCCCCCCCCCCCCCCCCCCCCCCCCCCCCCCTCCCCCCCCCCCCTCAATGGGACCCATGCAGGATGATGCAGTCCGTGCCCTGTCTGGCATTGGGTGGGACGGCTGAGCAAATGCGGAACTGCATGCTGGAGAGGATCAGCTGCTGAGGGCCACAGTGGCGATAAACTACAGATCACTAAGAAATATCTGCCTCTGCAGATCGATTCATGGGCATGGGAAGCTGAGCGGAGGTAGGGACAGGTGAGGCCCGCGTGAGGAAGTGGAAATTAATTAGCACCATTGGTGAGCATTTGTGTGCAATAAACTGTCTGTACTTGATGCATGACTTGGGTAAGAATAACAATGTTGTCAGGTTCACCGTCAAATGCGCACTGGACAAAAGCGTGCCGACGAAACCGCCGTCTTTTGTGGGCGCGCCTTTGTGGGCGGGCTGTCGACGTCACGGTTTTATTGCCGCGGTTTTGTCGGGTCATGATGTTGTCCATGTGGCTTTGGTGTCAAGTACAAAAGTGTTTACTTTCTGGAAATGCCAGCGGCAAAAGAGTTTTGCAAACAAATTCTGTGTGTTTTTTTTTTAAAGGTTTCTACTTATTGTTTATACTAATATCCACCTCTTGGTAAATAGGCAGTAAAATTTGAACCATTTAAGTTACTGAAACTTCCCCAGTTATAATGACACAGCATTCAAGTGATTACAACTAACTCTCTCTGTAGAGTNTCTTGAAAAATCACCTTTGGGACTTAAATACATTATTCTTCACCCACTGTTGAGGGGAAATTAGCCTCTTCTCAGAGGACCCTCCTAGCAGTGGTAATAATAATAATGATCATGATAAGATGAATAGAAATCTCAGCTGACAGTCAGGGGGATCTTTTTTGCACATGGGAAAAGCAGAGGGGGGGGCGAGAACGGGTCTAACACCTTCGTGTCCCCCCCCCCACTTCCACACAATCCACCCCTCCCGGATCTACCCCTCCCCAAATCCCACCTCCCCCCCTGCGACCCGGGTTACCTCAGCAGCCCGACGGCGACTGCGCGGACTTCCTCCGCCTGGCCCCGCCTCCCGCATTCCGCTTCCAGGTCGCGGCGGGAAAGGCGGCGGCGGCAGCGCGGAACGGGGAGTGAGTGGGGGGGGGGAGAGATGAGGCGTGGACGGAAGGCGGAGTGCGCAAGCGCGCTCGAGCCCGTGAGGCTTTTCCAGTCGCAGGCGCCTGCTGTGGCGGAGTGCGCATGCGCGCTCGAGTACCGGAGGCCTCTCCTCCTCGCCGCACCGCAGTGTGCGCATGCGCGACGTGCCGAATGCCCGGACTCTCCTTTCCGCGTGAGCCGGCCTCCCCTGCGCAGGCGCGAGCTTTAAAGCTTTTTTTTTTCCGCGCTGCTTTGCAGAGCTTTTGGTACAGAAAGGGATGCCCGGGCGGCACAAACTGGGCGATTGATTGACGGACGTCCAGAATTGATCCAACTTTCTGGGCGCCACCAACTCATGCCCTCTCCCTCGGGCTAATAAAACTGGCTGGCTTTGCACGATGCGTATCTTCTAAAATCAATGCTTATCCAAGACTTGCAGGTTGTGCTAGTGCAAATAGAATTAAATAGAATTAGGATAGGATAAGATAGGATAGGACAGGATAGAATAGAATAGAATAGAATAATAGTAGAGTATAACGGAGACCCTACACCATTTCTGACAGAAGGCAGTCCAGTCTCTTCTTGAAAGCCTCCAGTGATGCCACAACTTCTGAAGGCAACTTTTGTTCCATTGGTTGATGGTTCTCACTGTCAGAAAATTATTCCTATTTCTAAGTTGAATCCCCTTTGATTAGTTTTCATCCATTATTCCCTGTTTGGCCTTTAGTTGCTTTGGAGGTTGGCCTGACTTTATTAAACTAGAATGTGACTCTGATCAAGAGGGAATTGATGTGGTTGTTTTGGGTTCAGTAGTTGTTACAGCACTGAGGAGAGATTCCCTGTGAATTCAGAGACCTAATCCTTAGTGGGTTGACCCACCAATGTGATTTTCCCAAGACATTTACCAGGAAATCTAGATAAACCTGGCTATAGAGAGCAAAATGGACATCGGCAACAGGTTCGGAGTATATGGGTATGCTTAAAGGCCCCAACTTTTTGAGTGTGCAAAATGGAAACATGGATAATCTGAATCCGTTGGCAATGCCCGTTTTGCTCTCCAAATTCACAGGGACCCAACCCTAATACTGAATGGATTTGCCCCCCCCCCTCCCCGATGGCATTATCCCATTTATTTTACCAGGAAACATAGATAAGGCAGGCTGGAAGGGCGAGTGTCCTCCTAAGGAAATCCATGCACTCTGAATCCATTGGTGATAACCATTTTGCTCTCCGATTTCATGGAGATTTAACCCTAACCCTAAATGGATTTTTCCCCAATGGGATTTTCCCATGTATTTTACCAGGAAATGTAGATAAGCAGCAGTGATGGGATTCAATTTTTACTACTGATCCTATGAGTTTGGCTTGGTGGGCATGGCAGGGGAAGGATATTGTAAAATCCCCATTTCCTCCCAATCAGCTGGGACACAGGAGGCAGAGAATAGATGGGGGCGGGGCCAGCCACAGATGGTATTTACCGGTTCTTCGAAAGACTCAAAATTTCTACTGGTTCTCCAGAATTGGTCAGAACCTGCTGAATACCACATCTGAGAAGCAGGCTCAAAAACTCAGTGCCCTCCTAAGCATATCCGTGAGCTCCAAAGGTTCCACCACAAAACCGCGTTCGACTAAAGGGTGCTCGACGAAACCGCGTAGCTGACGTCATCACAGCGCGACAACAGTGTGGAGAAAAAAGCACGCTGTAAACGCTAAACCTAAAATTAACACCTAAACCTAAACCTAACCCCCCTAAACCTAATCCTAATCCTTAACCTAACCCTAAACCTAACCCTAAACCTAACCCTAAACCTAACCC